TATGCATGTGTGACGTCGGATAAACAGGGGGTTGACCTCATGTGTTTGTCTCCTTTTTGTGGCCAACGTGAGATCTGGTGGCGGTGGCAGTCCTTGGGAAGTGGAGAAGCACGGGCGCATGCATTTCACGTGGGAAGCGCGTGGTAGCAGCTTGGCGTGTGGCGGCAGCTTGGCGCGTGGCGGTTGAAGAACTTTAGGGTAAAACCCTAGTTGATTCAGATATGGAGCGTTAAATGGGTCTAGATCTAACGGTTTAGATTGAGCGACAAATGAAGGCTTGGTGCAGCTAGGGTTTTTAGCAGTCTAGGGTCATGAGTTGAAGGTTTGGGACGTTTGGACCTTGCCTGCTTCGGTTGGGCCTTAGGGTCTTAATTTGTAATATGGGTCTGGTTTGGTTTTTGGTTGGGCCATTTTCCCCCTATAAATATAATAATAATAATAATAATAAATATTAAAAAATAGTAATAATAATGATAATATAATAATAATGAAATATGACCGGACAAAAATGGGTGTCTACAGTATATATATGCCCTAGATATTGACTTGTTTATGTTTCTATTTGCCTTTGGTTGTTTTAGTGGATCCACGAAATTACGTCATACATATTTTCTTAGTTGTTAACTTTGATTTGCAGTTCTATTAACCTGCATATCATGATTGCATGTTCATTTATATGCCACATACGTATAGATTTTCGTGCTTGATTTTGCTTCTGAGAGCTCAACGTCCCCAATAGTTAAATGTAATTTGAAGTTGAACATAGGAACTATTATTATATGTACTTTTGATCCAATGAAACAGTGTCAATGGTTTGGTATTGTTTTGTATGAAGCCATTGATAAGGGTATATACAGGGGTAAATAGGTAAGCACTACTTTCTTGAAAGCGTTTCCTTTGTAAAATATTTTTGCAAATTGTTGTCTTTTTTCTGCATATATATGATAATTCACATGAGCTTCTGTTTGTTCATATAAAGAGTTAGTTTGGTTTTGCATGTTTGTTTTTCCAATTTAATAGTTGGAATTCCATACCTTTTTTTGTGTGATGATATTCATTCCTGACCTCAGTTATATATTTTAGAGGTAAATGGATTGCAGTCTTGCAGAGGTCTTGTTTTAGGTTGTTTTTTTCTTGGATATGTGTGTCAAATATTAGTATTTTGATAGTTTTCATGTCGTTTAAGGGTCCTTAGAGGATCATATTCTCGTACCTATGTCCTGAAATGTACGAACACAGAAAACGGTATACTTGCATAATTGAATAGCCCTTACAAGATACATGTTGAGATTTTGGACATATTAGTGCTCATTGGTTTGATAGTTTTACTGAAACAAGATACGCCTTGTATCATACATCACATGACTATAGAATAAAAGAAGGTTTGGCATGTTACTTAGATCTGTATTTCTCTAAAAATATTAATATCTTATATTTATGTTACATAGAATCTCATTACAGGTGCGTTAATTTATACTTCTTGCTGAATTTTTAATGGGTAACATAAAACAAAGTTGAAAACTATTGTCTCGAAGCAAAATATATGTATTGAAAGAGCACTTGTAGAACCTCATGCAGTAGATTCAACTAGATTTTTCTTCTTTGGTTTTGGGTATGATTCTCAAACTGATGACTTTAAAGTTGTAAGATTTGTTACTAACTACTTTGAAGAGAATCTAGTTGAATTATTTCGATAAAAAAAAACAAATTTGTTGTTCCCTAAAGTTATATTTTAGATTTTTACTGTTTTCCCCTTTTATCCATATTTTAGGAAATAAAAGGAAAAGCGTTGAAAATACAAGTAGTATTATGATGGTAAGAGGAAGTTAAATGCATCCAATGCAGTGTGTATGTACTGATGTAGTAATGTATTCATATGCAGTGTTCTATACACAAAGCAAAACATCTATGGTTGCACATTGTACTGATCACTAAATTGGCAGATGAAAAATGGAATCCATGATAATCATGGTGTTTAATTAATTTTAAATATTGTAAGTGCATGCCCAATATTATCTTTCTCATTGGGTTATATGTGATTGCTCAAATACTACGATTTCATTATGATATCTTTAATGACTAAATTATATTTTTCTTCAGGCAACAACCAAGGCAAGCTCATAAAGTCAGAAATCTACACGGTATGGATCCCATGGTATAGTTTAATGTTTGCTATAGTGATGCTTTTCATAAATCACAATGCAAAATTCATAAAGATTAAAGAGAGCTCTTGGCAAAATGTTAAACTTAACCTTTTTCTGATCAACAATTCCATGAGAATAGGCTGAAATTTCTTGCAGCTCAAAAGGTAGAAGGAAAAAAATTATATCCTCATAAATTCTTCACATCAATGTCTATATTCAAATATATAGATGAATATAGAAACTCAGGCAATGGGGAACATATTGTGGATGTTACGGTGTATTTGGCTGGTATTTAACAAGTCCCTCCTACTCCCATCATATACCATCCAATGTATCATGGTTGTGTTCATTTATTTATTTCGAAATGACTCTATTGTATTTATTTTATGCTAGGGTGAATTATGAGCAAAAGAACATCCAACTCAAAGCTTTTCTTCTATGACTTGCATGGTTGAGGTGCCAAAGTGCAAGTTATAGCAGATGCGAGGTATATGACCATTTTCATCATGTGTTTTCTTATTTATGTCCTCCAAATTTCTCTTGCTATGTGAAGGTTAATACCGGTTTATTAGACATTCAAAGCCAGTCTTGGAGGAATCTGAATTCGCTAAATTCCATTCCACTGTGAAACATGGTGATGAAGCAATTAGGTGAAGGTTTTTGAATGTCAAGATCGGCAATCAGGTGATGATGAAGCAATGGATTTGGATGAAACATTTTGTATTGCACTTGAGTATGGATTGCCACCAACAGGTTGTTGGGGCTTGGGTATCGGTCGGGTAGCTATGTTATTAATGGATTCATAATATATCAAGGTTCTCTCTAATATGTTTGTGAATTTGCATATAAATAACTCATAAATGAGATTCAATCAACTTTTAATCGCACTTATAACCCGTTGTATTCTATGTTTGACATGAGGTTTTTCTCTTCCCAGTAATGAAACCTCAGGATGAACCATCAGCTAAAGGTAATTAATTTAATATTTGCACTGTTTATCTCCTCATATGTTTCCAAATTCCATTTCAAATGTAGAACAACATACAGTATTGTACCCGTAATAAACGTTCAATGTCTTCATGTTATGATATTGAATTTATATCATAACACTGGATTGTTTGGTCATGTTATTAGCTCCAGCAACTCAGTGAGTTCACCCGGATGAAATTTAACACTCTGAAGCCATGTACAAGGGACTAAAATAAAATGCAAAATAAATAACAGGTTTGAAATACAAAGATTAAAGCTTCATTTAGTGACTAAAATGGAAGATTATAATTGTGGAGACCCTTTCCGCATGAATAGACCATGCTCTAAACACATGGTGTCTACCTCTCAAGACGGCGCCGTTTGGTTTCTTAAATGTAAGACAAACTTATGCCCTAAATGGCTTAGAAACACTTTGTATCTCTTTCATTTTTTCCTAAAAGCAGAAATCTCATGCTCTCTCCATCTCATCTTCTCATTCATCGAGAAGAAGCCGTCCACCGCGATAGCCATAAAAAATCGGCGTCGTTAGTGGAAAACTTCCCTAAAACAACTCATTTTGAAACCCAAATCTCACCGAGCCTCTATTTGAACCAAAAAGTTAAAGATTCGAAGCCTAAAACAAAATTTCAAATACCCCAACCCTTTTCAAGACCCCTAAACTCATCTTTTCTTCGAATCTTCTTTCATGTTATATATATAGAAAATACCTCCTTTTTTCATTTCGGGGCTCATTGACGTGATGAGGGGGATACACAGGTGGTGACAATGCCTGGGTTCTGCAACTGTGATGGCATCGAATGACGGGGTAAAGTTTTTTACCCCGAGGCATACATATTTTCCTTTGCAATGACCGGCGAGAAATGTGACGACCGTGAAAATGAAGATGGCGAGGTCGCATGGGGAATCGGTGAGGGCACATCCAAGGCCATTGGATCATATTTGATCCAACGATAGAGAAGCTTACGGCGGCTGGAAGCAATTAAGGTTAGTAATAAAACTCTAGTTTTATTTTTAATATGGATTGTTGGATCAACCCTAGATATAATGGCTGAGGCATCTACTGGAATGTGAGGAAACCCTAATTTGATGGATCTTCCCGCGTAGGTCTAGCTAATGGGTTTAATATATTTGGGTTTAGTTTTTAAATGGGTTTTTAGTTTTGTAATATTTGGTCTTTTAAATGGACTTTAATTTGATTCCATGGTTTAAAAATGCGTGATTAATCACAGCTGTTGCCAAATTGCATAACATGTGATAACTAAATCTTATATTTTATTAAATTACATGTCATGTTTGGGTTTTAAGGGATGGAAGTTATTTCTGCCTAACTTCCGAACTGAAAACCATGTGTGTGCTTCCACTGCAAACAAACTGAATAAACTGAAACAATAGAGTATCCCACTTAAATTACATGTGATAACTAAATCTTATATTTTATTAAATTACATGTCATGTTTGGGTTTTAAGGGATGGAAGTTATTTCTGCCTAACTTCCGAACTGAAAACCATGTGTGTGCTTCCACTGCAAACAAACTGAATAAACTGAAACAATAGAGTATCCCACTTACAACAGACTGAAACAAAAACAAGTTTGATGCAACATTTTCAATATAACATACTAAAATAGAAACTGAAACAAAAACAAGTTTGATGCTACATTTGCAATATAAAAAGGAACTGACCATTGTAAATATTAAGCACATAGTGAATGTTGATTGTGAGAGTATTGATTCTAACAATGTTGTTGAATTATAAGTTGTGGTTGTTTTGGTGATTTGTTTCTTAGTTCTTGTTACAGCTCAAACCCCCATACATTTTTATAAACTCAGTCTCCAATGGCATCTTGTTGTGTGTAATTCTAGTGGCATGGCATGTGGTACTCCCATCCCGTCTGTGTTAACCATCCATGGTATATGGCCTCAACATGCAAAAGACGTTCTAATTCCTCCTTACAATGCAGCCAATAATCTCTGTTACTCCAAGGCACCCATTACTGACTTAGTAGTCCTTAAGGTAAGCATCTCATCAACTTTTTAAGTTGTTTTTTTTTAATTTATATATATGATCTAATTTATATTCATCTAATTTAGAAAACATTAACTCTAATTCAAAGCAACTTAATATCATTATAGCCGAACATGAAGAACCCTACTTAATCGGGTATTGGCTTTTGGAAGCGTGAATGGTTAAAGCAAGGAACATGTTCTGATTACCCTAATAACCCTATCGATTACTTCAAATCTGGCTTAACGCTTAGATGAGCCTTAACAAATCCAGGTGAGTTTGTTTCCTTTGTACTTGCTTTTATATCTTCTGTTATCGAGTTTATGTATAAGATGGTTGAAAAGTTGGAATGATGTAATATTTATGGGTTTCATTATTATTATTAGTAGTAGTATTATATAAAACAATTTTTAAGATTAAATAGTTGATAATTCATCTTTCTAACACAGTTTCTAACTTACATTGATTCAGCTATGAGACTTACATCAGGAAACATTTATATGGTTCAAGATGTTCAAAAAATAATTCAGGGCTTACAAAAGCTTCACCTGAAATTACTTGTAACAGAAACAAAACTAGAGGATTGAAACTGAGGGAGATTCGTTTGTGTTACGCTCGACCGACTTCGTTAATCAAACCCATTCCTTGATATTTTATTTTATTTTCCTTGTGTATCTTCATCAGCATGCACTAATGGGAAAAACCATTAACTTCAAAGAATAGGAAGTAAAAGAAAAATAATGTGATTAAGCTACTTGTTGATAATGACATATACTTTCTTATGTTAATTTAATCTTAAGCAACCCGAAATTAGGAGACCTACTTTTATAAAGTATTTTCTAAAATTAATCAAGGCTTTTATAATAAATTTATTGTATCAAACTAGACGATAATTAAATAAATTTTTGAATAAAATATTGTTTTGATTAAATAACATATTTAATTTAGACTCTATAAAATGAAAGTAAAATTTATTACTTTAATAATTATATAAAAATAACCAAAATTGGGAACTCTCGATTGTAATGGTAAAAAATAGAGATCATGAAAAAATCTCAATGTTAGAAATTGAGAATCAGTAGAGATTGTAAAATTAATACTTATGTTATTTGCATTAAACATCTCTAAATTATGTATTAAAATTTGAATTGGTTCCCAAATTTTAATTGGTCTAATTTACTTCTCAAAGTACTAATATCGTTTCAATTAAGTCCTTCCATCATCCTAGTCATCAACTTGAACATTAACAGAACATATATAAAAACACGTGGATCTTGGTGACAAAGTAATTCACGTGGATCAACTTGACCCTAGAATGTTTGGAAAGAGGAAAATAATGCAATTATGGGATTTTTTCTTATAGATATTATGATTTCTCCCTTAAATTTCATGAACAAAATTAATAGAATAATTAACTATAATAAAAATTTTAAATGCATTTATAGATTTAATAAAAAAATTATTAACAAATGTTAATAGGTTAGATCAAATTTGAATATGATATTTAATAAAAAAATTATAGTTATTGAGTGTTATTGTTCAGTTAAATTTAAACCAGAAAAAACATGAACATACTTTTGTTCATGTTCGTTTAGTTCATTTTTTGACTTATTTAATTCTAATAAAATAAATTTGAACTTGCTCAAATACGCATGATTGTCCCATCTGATATGAATATTAAACTGAAATTGATGATGATTGGTATTATTTTATTAAATTGTTGTCTGTGATTGAGAATTAAATTGTTGACCAGTATTGTTATTGATTTAAATATTAAACTGAAGGATTAAAAAGCGGATTATGCTAGAGGTTTTGGATTATTGAATTTATGATAATTTATTTATCCTTCAACAACTCGATTAATCTTGAAATCAAAATTTAGGGTTTAATAAATATATTTATATGTATGTATATGAAGATCCATTTATACATTGTAAAACATTTTTAGTTATATACAGATTTAGGACTATTGGATGAGTAGAGATAGCTGAACGAGATTAATTCTTTATTTTTTTCATTGAATATCTTTTCATTTTCTATTGTTAGTATCAATATTCTATTTTCACTCATCTACATTACTAAATCTATGTAAAACTAACAAATATTACACTATATAATTGGACCCTATATATATAGACAAGCACTTTAACCTCTAACATTTCATTTAGGAAAAAAGAGTCCTATACAGAAGAAATTATTAGTCAACAAACAATCAACGTATGAAGATGCAATATCAAGCTTACATGGCCTCACATGCTGGCATGACAACCGAAGAAGATGACTGGTGATGAAAACTGACGGTGGGCGATGACGACGATGAGTGGCGAGTAGAGACATTCACTTTTACTAAATTTAGGGGTCAATTCATATTTTATATAGAGTTTAAGAGATAGATTACTATTTTAGACTGTATCATGTAGAGGTTAGTATTCTAATCTAAAAACTATAACAGATTTGGGACAAGAAAAAAATTAACAATCATACTAGCGAGATAATATCATATATAAATAATATATTTTTAAAATCAGGATTGAAACTGCCAAAAAAACTGACCCATTCAACCTATGCCTGTCTTATTCATACTAATAAAAGTAGTCGCTTATTGTATGTAGTCAATATTTTGCAAACTTTGTCTATGATAAGCTAATGGGTTTTAAAAGGGCTCGACCAGGCCCATCAAAATAGTATAAATAATGACCAGTTTGCATCGTAGTTTTCTTGTTACAGAAAAGCGTTTGATGTTACATGTTATAAGTTTTTTCTATATTCGTTTTCTTTTATATTAGTTCTCATCGTCTTTCCCCAAACAAAATCATATATTGAAAACAACAAAGGAAATAGAGAAGATAAAGAAGGAATATGCAAGGGTTGATCAAAACTAGAACTGAATTACCAGAGATGTTGGTGTTAGAGATTCTCTCAAAGCTTCCTGCTAAATCCTTGAACCGTTTCAGGTACGTTTGTAAGTCCTGGTCTTCATCTTTTGAAACCCCTCATTTCATTACCAAACATCATCAGAACAATCTCAAAAACAATAACCTTAATCTCCTTGTAACCCCCTCAGACCGATGCAGATAGCCCGATCCGAGTGTCACATTAGGGCCACCAGAGCAACCCATCGAAAAAAGAACGAAAAATTTAAAAACTTTTATTAAACATCTAAACTCATAAAATCATTTATAAATACAAAAGTAAAATTTTCCAATATTTAGAAATAAAACAGATTTTCAGACTCGTATATAAAAAAAGTTACAATGTACATGCCCCTAATCACATGTACCATACTCTGCAAGCAACGCCAGAAGAACTCCCTTATTGATAACGATAGCTGCACTGGTACAATTCTTTTAACCTGCAATGGTGAGTAATAGAGTGAGCTTTGGAAAGCTCAGTAATACAAAACTACCAGATAATGCTAAAGGACATGCAGATAAATGGAAAGCCATAATTTCCTTATTGAATCAGACGTATACAAATTTTCGGGATAATCTGAGGTTCCACTGGTAGTTCATCGAATAGAAGCCATGAATATCTCAATTCATATGAAGCATTCATAGTATCACGTTTTTAGAAGATCGAATAAGATGTCTAGTGTGTTCCAACAGTACAATAAAATCATAATAAGTTCACTAATCAAATGATAGTTCAGTAAATCTCATAAATCATACTGTAGTAAAGCTTTTTAAACTCGTAGTTTGAAACCATCATATAAAGATTTAACCTAAGGAAACATCTTAGGGCCTAAGAGCCTACCCAAGAAAGTTTTGGGGCCACGGGGCCTACCTAAGAACATATCTTAGGGCCGCAGGGCCTACCCGAGAATGATCTCAGGGCCGCAAAGCTTACCTAAGAGTCACATTAGGTCCATAAAAATTTTCCAGCTTGATCAGAGGTGTACTTTACAATTTTGTATCTCCAAGATACAATTTATACATTGATACAATTCCATAAGCTATCGCCATTAAGTCGGTGCATCCATAAAACAGTAACCATAGATTTCAGTGTACCTCATGTTATAATAATAAAATAATTTATTAAAATATAAGGAACACACTAGAGAATCCAAATATTTTTCAGAGGCATTTTGAAGTTATTAGTATGGATAACATGAACTTGTGCAGTTTGATCGGATTTCAAGAACAAAGTCCTATTGGAGAGAATCAAATTACTAAATGATCTGATCAACCATTTAATGTTGATACCTTAGAATTCCACTATAATTCATGTGCATCAGGAAAGTGTACAGGAACCTTTATATCGAATGAATTTTAAATTCAGACTTATGGAGAGTTATTCTATTACTCAACCAATCTGGGGTATCCAGAATCCTTTGCATCTGAGTTACTTGTGCTAATCAGATATTATCGGAGTCATTTGAGCTGATAAGGGAGAAAACGTAGATTCAAAACATCCCATTATATTGATCAATCAGATTATCAAACAACTTGAGTTACACAACTCTCAGACTAATGCATGTCGATAATTCCGTTCAATGTCCTTCCAGAGTATTCACTCTTTAATACTAACAATTCTTGTTCATAAATCATCTTTGTAATCATCGATGAATAGATCTTTCAACGGTCTTTATTTCATTTATATGTTTCAATGATATCAGGAAATACACACGAACTTGATTCATGGTTTATGACCCGTAAAGACATTTTATCTTGTAAGTTCAACAGTGGTTCCAGACTAATCCAATCACTTATTTAATCCTCAGTCGTTGAGGTTACTTAGTTCATTTAGCAATCAAATCTATCTCATTTACTTCAAGTTTTCCAGAGTAATTCAAAAAATTTTGAATTTCAGATACATATTGTACTACCTTTCATTTCAATTTAGTCATATAATAAAGTCCATCTGGTATTCGTGGTTGATTTGTCTCACGAATATCCTCTTCTTAGTATCGAATGCGCTCTAGAGCTGAGCTGAGCCAATTACTTCCAGAATTATCATCGATCCACACTTGCGAATACTAACACGCATTCAAATCATATTTATGCCATTCATGTATTGACATAGCTTTAGTGTTGATCTACTCACTTAAATTGAATTCTATAACTCTTAAGGGTAGTACAAGACCCATGTTTGTTTGGATTTCTTAATTAATCCAAGACATTTTATTATTATAGGCCCTAAGGGCATTTTGGTTATTTTGGTGCTCAATGTTTTTCCATTCATTTCAAAGCTTGAGGATATCTATTCATTCATGAACTTGGTTATATTCTTGAGTCATTTCCATTGTAGGGGTATTTTATTCATTTTACAGATCTAGGGTATTTCAATCATTTCCTTCCGTTCGGTCTTATTATTTAATTCAAATTTATCATTTACCTCAATCCTTTCGAACAATTCTGTCAAAAGAGCACCATCGATAATTTATTCTTAACTCAAAGATTTCCTTGTCAATTACCTTCTCAAAAGTTACTAACAGGTTATCTGGAATTTTCTGTACAAAGGCATGATCTTAATAATCAAATCTGCACTTAATCGAGTTAAGTATGAATCCTCAAATTACTTTCTCATTCAGGGTCAACTCGGACTATTTTACCTCTCAAGGGAATTTTCGTAATTTCTTAACCAGATAATTTCAGTATTAACTCTTAACAAACATAATTATAATATAAAGATCCTATGATTAATTGCTTTCTTGAGCATTCTCTGCTCTTGAAATGATTCCCTTAATAACTTCTAGTATCTTGTAGAAACCACCTTGGAGTAAAAAAAACCAAATATCCAAATTTTCTAAACAAAACTAGCATTTTTTATGCACATCAAAAATTTTATCGGATCAATATGTCTTTAAAAATCCTTTATCCAACTTATATGGTCAAATCTTGTCTTTTTACTACACAAGGGTATTTCTATTATTTTACCCTACCAGAGTATTCTCATAATTTCTCATCCAATTACCTTTGATGAAATAAATTATATATTACAGATCCAAGCTGATTCCTTTATTGCTAAACACAGAACTTGTAATTTTAATTCTAACAATCCATCAATTTCTTATAAAAGTCATCTGAACCATAATCATTTACCGAATTTTTATCGTATTCGGATCGAGTGTAGAAATTAATTAACTACACATATGAGACTAATAATATCTTATTCATGCTTTTACCAATATTCACATGATCCATAAAGCATAAAGAGGTAGTTAAGTATTACCCCAATTTCCGTGCACTACTGATTGACCATATAAATTCCATTCGAACGCACTCGATCTTTAATTCAATGTCCAATAATTCCTCATATATATAACAACAGAAATTTCAACAAAAACTGAGCTTAATTTTGAAAAACGGATCGAATTGGGTGATTAATAATTTAAAAACAGCTTACCGGGTTTGAATTTGGAGAAACGAACCTCAAAATCGGAACATCAACAAAACCCAAAATATTAGTCTTAAATTCTAGCTCACCAACTTGATTTCTAGCTTCCAATCTTTTCTAACGAACACGTATAATTTATAGTACAAATACGACTTCCAATAAATTTTTCTTGCCATAAAATAATAACTTATTAGAATCTAATTAAAAGTTTGGAAACCCAATTTATAAAACTAAAAACTTATGGAGCCACTATATATATTCAATTACTAAACTCAGGGACTCAATTGATCTTATTGAAACTATTATGCCATAATCATAACAATATGGAAGCTAGAAAACATGGTTAGCTTTTACAAAACTTGGATGATTCACCTTGTAATTTACCCCTTTTGCACTTTATCAATAATTATCCAAAATCACGTGTGCTGTGTACAAATGCTTAATTTTTTACTTCAACACATTTAATATATTCAATTTTTTTAATCTTTATCGTGTTCTCAAAGTGAAGCAAGAAAGCTTCATCAACCAACAGCCAACGCGTTGACCACCACGATAGCCGTCGTCGCCGGTCATCGGTCTAATCCGTAACTCCACCACATAAGCATTTTGGTCTCCTCATCAAGAATACGGACTCCAATCATTGAGAAACTCCATGGATAGTCGTAAATCTATAAGAGAAATTTCGGCCATCGTGAGCTTCAACCTCCCCAATCTCTGTCATTTACCGATGGATGGAGTCACTTCCGAGATATGTTGGTCACCTTGTTGTTGGGAACATCTCCACTATTGCTATTTCTCGATGGTGGTCCAGATCATTGGAATCGAGAACCAAAAGTTTTGTTGGAATTCTCTCTTGTTTGCACCTATTGGGGTTTGATAGAATCGTTATTTTGTGTTCAGTTGGTTGTAGACAATGATATGATGCAAAGTGGATATGCATCGTTTTCCGTTTGACGTTGTTAGAGCACTATTACCACTGTTACCGAAGGGAAGAATGTTGTTACCATCTTTGGTTGTTCGTTTGATTCACCATGGTTGTCGTTGGGAAGTAAATCTGAGACTACTAGAAGGGTGATGACAGTTTACCGAGAGTTTAGGTGGATGGGTTGAGTTCGGTGCTGGTCGGTTCTACTCTTTCGATACCAAGCTGATTCATGTCGGATTAAGCTATTTGATCAGTTAGAAAAGAAATGGTTCATACTACCGGGTCAATCTCTCCAATAATTGTTTTAAAACCAAACCTTACACTAAAACAAATCTTTCAGATATGTGGTTTACCATTTTTCCCCATATAATATAATAATAATAATTGTAGTGGTTGAACAACTCTTCCCACTTATGGTTATTCATTTTCCATATTTTAAACTAAAGAAATCTAACCCCATATTGGGGTGTGACACACCTCCTTAAATGTTGTCATGGTGACACCCGTGATGACATCCATTATTTCTCTCAACTTTCGACCGAGAAAGACCACCAAAACTTTAGAGTAAAACACTATATTCACTTACCCTTTTTTGATAATTTGTGCATGCACCTTTTATTCATGGCCCATGTAATGAAATATTGTGTTTAGCATATCTAGGTGGTATTGGACGTAATGTTTCCCATCGGAACCCATCTACCAGAGAGTTTAAAATCCTACCTCAATCCACAGTCCAGCGCCCTCTTGGACTAGTGGATTTCTCTAATATTAATTGCCTTGGTTTTGGGTATGATTCCCAAACCGATGACATCAAAGTTGTAAGATTTGTTACTTAGTACTTTGAAGAGAATCTAGATGAAGGGTTGATGGCATATTGGACTACACAAGTTGAGTTATATTCACTTAAAATCGATTCATGGAAGGAAATTTCATTTCTTGAGGTTTATACTTTTGCTTATACTTTGTTTAATAATTATGTCAATAGGTTTATTTATTGCCAGGCAGTTGGGGTTGTTCACCATATTCTTTCGTTTGACATGGTTAATGAAAAGTTTTCAACTTCACCACTGCCTGAATTTGGTGGGACTTTAGAACAATATTATTTGGAACTTTTGGACTTCCATGGAATGTTTGGTGCTATTTTTTACCCAAGGGAAGGAAATGACAAGTCTTTTGATTTATGGGTTATGAATGGGTCGTGGACTAAACAATTAAGTGTTAAAAATGTTATTGGATTTCAGAGGCCTTTGGGGTTTTGGAAAAATGGCGAGTTGTTTCTCGAGAGCTCTGATCAAGAACTAGTTTTATTTGATCCCTCCATACAAGAGCTTAGAAATCTTGGTGTTCACACTTATAAAGAAACAATGCACATTACTGCTTATGTTGAGAGCTAGGTTACATTGAATGGAAGATCAAAGCATGAGGAATGTATAATACGATGGTCAGCCGGAGATGAATCAAATTAATGTTGAACACTGAGACAGATGGTGAGCTACAACAAAAGTGGTAAGATTTAATGGGATTTGGTGTCTTCGTATGTACTTTATGTCAACTATACTGTCTAGTGATGTTCTCAAATATTGTTGTTATTGTTTGAATTGTATATACATGCCCTAGATATTGACTTGTTTAGGTTTCTGTTTGCTTTTAGTTATTTTAGTGGATGCACAAAATTACATTCTACATATTTTCTTAGTTGTTAACTCTGATCTGCAGTTCTCTTGATCTGCCTATCATGATTGCATGTGCATATATATGCAATACACACTGTTTTTCCTACTTGAATTTGCTTTTGAGAGCTCAACGTCCCCAATAGTTGAATGTAATTTGAAGTTGAACATAGGAATTATTGTTATTATTATATGTACTTTAGATCCATTGAAACAATGTCAATGGTTTGGTCGTGTTTTGTGTGAAGCCATTGTTAAGGGTATTTGCAGGGTTAAATGGGTTAACACTACTTTCTTGAAAGCGTTTCTTTGTGGAATATTTTTTGAAATTGTTGTCTTTTTTCAGCATATATATATGATAATTCACATGAGCTCCTATATGTGCTTATAAAGAGTTAGCTTGATTTTGCATGTTTGTTTTCCATACCTTTTTGTGTGTGATGATTTTCATTCTTGACCTCAGTTATTTATTTTAGAGGTAAACGGATTGTATTCTTGCAGAGGTCTTGTTTTAGTTTGTTCATACTTGGATGTGAGTGTGAAATATGAGTATTTTGATAGTTTTTTTCATATCGTTGGAGGGTCCTTAGAGAATCGTATTCTCGTACCTATATCCCGAAATATACGAATAGCCCTTACAAGATACCTGTTGAGATTTTGGACAGGTTGGTGCTCGATCATTGGTTTGATAGTTTTGCTAAAACGAGATATGCCTTGACTGCATAATAAAAGAAGGTTTGGCATGTTACCTAGATCTGTATATTCATGTATGATATTTATGTTAATTAGAATCTCATTGCAGGTGCATTAATTTATACTTCTTGACGAATCTTTAATGGGAAAACATAAAACAAAGTTCAAAACTATTGTGTCGAAGCAAAATATATGGATTAAAAGAGCACTTGTAGAACCTCCTGCAGTATATTCTACTAGATTTGGCTTCCATGGTTTTGGGTATTATTCTTAAACTAATGACTTCAAATTTGTAAGATTTGTTACTAATTATTTTGAAGAGATTTGGTTGAAGGGTTGATGGCAGATTGAAACTACCAAGTCGAGTTATATTCCCTTAAAAGTGATTCAAGTTGAGTTATAGGGAGGCAGTTGGGGATTCTAATGAGTGATGACCTTATTCTTTCGGTTGATATGGTCAATGAAAAGTTTTCAACTTTACCACTTCCTGAATTTGGTGAGACTTTAGCACAATATAATTTGCATTGGACTTCAATGGATTGTTTGGTGCTATTTTTTATCCAAGGGAAGGTACTGATAAGTCTTTTGATTTATGGGTTGTGAATGGATCATGGACTAAACAATTCAGTGTTGAATCTGTTCCTAGTGTTCATAGCCCTTCGGGGTTTTAGAAAAATGTCAAATTGTTTCCTGAGAGCTCTGATCATGAATTAGTGTTGTTTGACCCCTGATAGGAGAGCTTAAAAATATTGGTATACATGGTTATTGGGAAACAACACAGATTATTGCTTATGTTAAGAGTTTGGTTCCGATAAATGGAAGACAAGAGCATGAGGAACATATTATATATCGGCTAGCCGAAGGTGCATCAAATTGATATTGAACACTACGATGGATGAGGAGCTACAACAAAAGAGGAAATATTTAATGGGATCTGGTCTCTTAATATGCAGTTTATCTCAATTATCTTGTGTAATACCCCAAAAATTTAGACAATGACCAAAATACAAATTTTGAAAGTTTGATGGTCAAAGTAGAAAATTTGGAAAAAGTTTGAGGAATTAAGTGATAATTTCCTAAAAAGAATTTTATTCTGTAAATATATGGTTTACTCTTGAGAGTGGAGTTTTATAGAAATTATATTTTTGGATTTTGAATTTTAGTAAAGAAAAACTAGAAAGGGTTAAAGTCGGTAAGGAAATTGGTATTTCAGATCGAATTGTAATTTTACAAAAATTGGAAGGATGTTATAAAATGGTTGGAAATATTATTTTATTAATTTATATCAGAAAAATTTGGTTTGGAAATGTGCAAATTTTCAGATTTAATCAAAACAGTGGAATTTAGTGACTAAAATGCAATTTTTGAAAATTCAAGGGGAATTTCGGAAATAAAAGTCAAATTAATTCATATTTGACTTTGTAATATGATAAGGATTATATGACTTGGTTTTATGGTGAATTTGGAGATTCATTAATGGAAAAAATGGAAATTCATATTGGATTGAATAAAAAAATGACAATAATATATATTGCCATGTGATAGATTTATTTATCATTAAATATCAATCATGGAAGAGCATTTCCAACTTCTTCTTCCTCCATGGGCCGGCACTTTCAAGCAAGAAAGGTAACATTTTTAGTTTGAATTTTGAAGCTATTTCTTGAGAATTAGACTCGGTGTGTTAAGAAAAATGTTCTACGTTCAATTCTCTACATTTCGACATTAATATTACTAGAGTTCATGTTCAAGTTCATCTTGAGTTGATGAAAGGGGATGTTGATTCTTGTGTTTTATTGGTTTTGAAGAGTAAGTGATTTTAAAGAATTGGTTGTAAGAATTGATGAAGAACCTAAGGATGAAGTTAAAGAAAATAGTTTAGATTTTGAGTCTGAAAGTAGGTTTAAAAATTCACCATAAATTATATAAAAATAATTTCGAGGTTATTTTTATATATCTGTGTTCATATATTGATCTAGTTCTGTTTAAAATAAATAGGGATCAATTTCAAGGTGTATACAAAAAGATATGAATTTTTAACCATGGAAAGGTCAGAAAAATCGGACAGCAGATTCTGCAAAACAGCTTATGGTAGTCAACTTTGAAAATTCACCATAAATTGTACAGAATGAATTTGAAGGAATTATTTATATGGATAGATTCTTATTCGAGTCTAGTTTTTAATGGAATAAGAAGAATTAAATTCCAGTGTGTATATCAATACATAATACTGATTTTTTAAAGGTAGCGCAAGTTGTCTGAATCTGGAAAATTGATGGGTTGTTGTGTAAGTGTTGTATAATTGATGTACTAAGCTTGAAATTGTTTTTGGGAATTAAAATGAGTGTTAGAATGTGAAATATGATTATTTTGGAAGTTTGAAAAGATGAGTGATTTAAGTACAACAATTGTATAGTTTGTGTACTTAAATGTAATTATGCTTTTGTAAAAGCATTTGAATGGGAATATATTTTAATGCTGGAATTATTGGTATTAAGAATCTAAGTGATAAAATGGTGAAGGACCATTTTGAGTAAATTGGAAAAGTTGGTTCCAATGTTAAAGGAATTATTAAGAGATAAGTATTTTGATAAATAATGAGTTTCAAATATATTATGGAGTTATTATGGGATATGTTTATGTTAGTACAATACTAACATATGCATCGTTATGAATTGGTGATTTATACAGATTGTGATTGATTTGTAATCGAAGCAAATCAAATGTAAAAGGGTTTATGGTGGACAATAGTGAGGCTCATATATTTTGAAAGACATAAAGTGTCAAGGTGAGTGCAGTACATGCATGACATTATACATGGATGTTTTATACATCATCAGGACGACTTGCGATAAGTCGACCTTGTTTATATCAACATGAATTTATATCATTTTTATAAATTGACATTGATATGTCAGAGTATGAAATTATAATGCATTGATTTTGGAAAATGTGATATTTTACTATGAATGTTTTCGGGTATGAACTGCCCATTGTTAAATTATGATAATATACTTTGCCATGGATGAATTAAATAAAATAGACTATATGCCAAGTAAGTCATTGAGGGACAGGGTATAGTTTGCATGACATAGAGTATAGTAGATGCAGGTTCATAATACACTTCGATGTATATGGTGGGCACGACCTTATGTGTAATACACTTTGGAGTATATGATGGGCACGACCTTATGTGTAATACACTTCGGTGTATATTGTAGGCACGACATTATGTGTAGCACTACGGTGCAAATATTACTCGAATACCCAGGGTTCTCAGGGTTGTATATTGGGCTATAGGCTATGGTTTATGGTTTATTGCTTAATAAATAGTGAGCATGCAAATAAGCTTACGAGCTTATGGAATAATGGCAAGCATATTGGTAAAATAAGCTTACGAGCTTATGGAATAAATGGTAAGTATATTTGTAAAATAAGCTTACGAGCTTATGGAACAAATGGTAAGTATATTGATAAATAAGCTTACGATCTTATCGAATAAATGATAAGAAATTTTATATCATTTTCATCATGGAAAAACATTAGACATGTTGGTAAAATAATTTTATGGCATTTGATTTTGACATTGATATTCATGCATGAATTGTGTTGCATTGTTTATTGTTTTAAATTTCCTCACTAAGTATATACTTAGCGTGTGATGATTTTCACGCGTGGCAAAGAATAAGAATAAAGAGTTCAGAATGACATCAAGAATCGAGAAGTATATTTCAACATCAGTAAGACATCCTAAGTTGTAATGTTGATTTTATTAGTGGCATGTATTTATTAATGTTCAATTTGTTTTGTTGAACAAAATTGGAAGCAAAATGGAATTTTTATGAATTTATATGAATTTTATGAACAGTAACCACGTTTTTGGAGATTTTACAGAATGCTTCAGGGGAACCGATTCCCCTGATACAGGAATCGATACCCCCACTGTACAATGTACACTGTTCACGGTACTATTCATAAAAAACTTTTGAATTAAATTTGTTTATAGCGAAATAGAAATTACATGATAAGAT